CCTTAAGTTTTGGAACGTTGTTACGACTTGCTCAGCCTCCTAGAAGAGTTGGGATTCTGACAAGTGGGTGTCTTTCTTTGTCTTCTGAATGCCAAGTTGTCTTTCAGCATCATCTTCTAAAAAGTGCAAGCATCCCAGCACCCAGGGTAGCCGGAATTCATAATTCATTCGGAATTATTACGTATCTTTCCCGGGGCTTTCAGATCCCGAAAAGAGGAATCCCTTTGATGTATCAAATCTGTCAGTGGTTGCCCAAGTCATCTCCTTTTAATTAGCACCTTCACGGCCCATCTCCTAGACTTCAGAAGCGAGAAGCCGTCTTCTTGGCTTGATGCCAAGCCACTGGTTTGGCTGAAGATGTTTACCTTATTGGCTTCGCTCTCCTAAATCAAGGTGCTGTATGAGTTGAAACTCACCATGTGAACCCACATTGTGATTATTTTAGTTCCATTAGTTAATCTTAACATTTTTTTAAATTATAAGTATCCATCTGCCCCCCTCTCCCCGGTTTCTCATTGTATTCCATTAATCGACATCTTTTCCCAATTTGAACTTGAGATTTTAGCATGTGTTTCTGAGCAAACCAAGACAGTGCTTCTCTTTCCATCTGGCTAGTCCATTTGTGACATTACTGTGCTTTAAATTGGGGAAAAGAAAGTAAGACAATGGGTTCAGGCTTCAGCAACTGGGAATTGGGTGTTTGGCTGGTAGTGCTTTACATCAAGAGAAGGAGGCAATGGTTCCAAATTAAGGCTGATGAAAGGATACGGAGAGGGATTGCTAACATTAAGAGAACACATATCTACCTTTACAGGTTTTTTTATAGTGTCAGAAGTGAAACTGCAAGTCACTTCTGGTGTGAGAGAATTGGCTGTCTTCAGAGACATTGCCCAGGGGACACCTGGGTGTGTTACAATTCTGTGAGAGGCTTCTCACATATCCTCACATGTGAAACTGGAGCTGACAGATGGGAGCTCAACTCTTCTTGCGGAATTGAACCGCCAACCTTCAGGTCAGCAGTTCAGCTGGCACAAGGGTTTAACCTATTGTGCCACCTTGGCTCCTTACCTTTAAGGTAATCCCTGGGTATTGCTTAATCATAGTGGGTGTAGGCAACTATTGGAAGTCATAAGGCCCAATTGCCCCCTCATCCCTGAACTTCTGGGGCTATCCTACTGTCTAGCATCCCCACAAAATGAAAGAATTTCATCCCACTAAACCTCCCATTCCCACCCCACTAAACCTGAGGAGTAACACAGTCATGGTTTGTCTGCCCTTGGGCATTTTAGACCCAGGAGAAGCCTATTTTCCCCAAGAGAAGTAGTTGGGAAATCAATATCTAGACTCCTTCCTGTTAGAAAAGAGGCATCTCCTGGACTTAAAATAGTTCAGATAGGACATGACCAAACATGTTCTCCATGGCTCTGAGAGGGTGTTATTAAAAACCAGTCACTGTAATAAATAACAGCAATTACCATATATGGACCACTGTACAAACAGTAAATGTGACAAACAGCTAATGTTGGAAATAGCAACCTTCTCAAGCCTCCACTAGTTATTTGTTTTATATATATAATTCAGATTGGTTACTGTATTTTATATGTGTGTGTTGGTATGCAATTTCACCGTAACTCTTTGTTGTGGGAGGGGCTACAGACCATGTGATCAGACCTGGGCTTGTTCAGGATTCAGACTCTATTTAGAAACAGTGTTCAGTTTAGACTTCAGTAGAAACAGATGTATGCTTTTAGAAGTTAGTTGAGATTCTATTGGACTCTCAGAACAGAGAGTTGCTTTGGACTATGGACTATTGATTCTAAAAAGGATGCCCTGTGTCACAGAGAAACTACTTCAAATCCTATTTGTAACTGCATTGATAACCAAAGTACCTGTATGCTGAATACATGAGGTCTGTGAGCAAACTAACTATGTTACTTTTAAAGAAGTCTACCTTATTTTAGTCTCTTGAGAGCATGAAATATATTTTAAGGGAGAGTAGATGTTATTGGGCAACTAAAAGGGACTCTTCTGAAACTCTGCTGAATATGTGTGTGTGTGTTTTGTGCATTGGCATATCTTTGTCCCTAGCAGTTCAAAGACACACCTAGGTGCATCAGTTTAACAGCTGAGAAACCTAGTTGTCTTCCATGAATGCTCTATTTTTCCCAAAAAGGTTATGGCTCTAATAGGTTATGATTTTACCAAGAGGTTATGGCATCATTTTTCAAAAGGTTATGACTTCTAAAAAGGTCACCCCTTTCCAAAGATCATAGATTCTCCAAAAAGGTTATGGAGAATTCTGTTATTCAAAAGCTAGTGTGATGTATTGTAATTGTTAGAAAGGGCTGAGTATTATGTAGCTTTGCAGAAGTTATTGAACTGCAACTCCTCCTAGTCCTAGTCAGCATTGTCAAATATAAAAATAGCTGGACTTTGCAATCCAACAATATTTTCTCTCCCCTGGGAGTTGAGAGATCTGGGTTTTATTCTCCACTGAGTCATGAAATTCACCAGAGTGACTTCCAGGCAATTATTCTCTCTCAGACTGATGTACCTGAGTCCCCCCAGGGGTGAGAAAAGTGGTATATAAATGCTGTAAATAAATAAGTAAATAATACCTCAAGGGTAAAAGTGGGGAGGAAAACAGCTATGTAAATTGTCCTGAACTGACTGGAAAGAATGTGGGAGAAAATGTGGTGGCCAGAATTGTCTCAAGACATTGTTGTGTTTCAGCTAGACAAACTAAGGACACATTTCAGCTAATGGACAGGGGCACAACCTACTATGCAGCTCTTCTGAACAAGCCCTAGGTAACTTACGCACAAGATCTGTTTCAGTTGCCATCAACCCACTATGCTCAAGGTTGCACTCCAAACAGACTGCCTGAGATGATAATGTCAAACCTACTTCTGATTGGCAACAAAGCTCTGCCAAAGGACACTTAAGGAAGGAGAACGCAAAGAGACACTCTGTACCTCGGAGGATGTCGAGAGAGAGTTTTCCATGCCAAAGCTGTTCTTGCAGGGAGGGCTCTTGGTGATACTCAGAGAGTCACTGTTGCACACTAGAAGGAAAGTCAGAGAGTCAGAGTGCTTTTCCATGCTGCCTCTCAGCAGCTACAGATCACCTTTCGACATTCACAAAAGCAGCTGGTACCACCCCCCATCAATATCTATCTAAAAGCTTTGGTGAATCAAAATGTTTCCAGAAGGGGGGGAGGGTGGGTAAAAAAGACCCTTTTAGGAATAAAGTATCGATCACAGATCAATGAATGTAAATGAGATGCACATTTCTTACCATTAGGGGCTAAGATATAATGCGCTTGGCCTGAGGGTCCATTGCTGGTGGTGACCATTGGGAAAGGAACAGAGAGCTGGACATTCAGAAGCTGCAAGCGTTCCTTTTTAGCTGCCAAAGTCATGATCTGCTCCTGGAGGCGTTGGTTCTCCTTCTGCAGTGAATGAAGAGCTTTGAGCATTTCTACAACTGCAGAAACATGAATGGGGGTGGGGGTCAGGAAGAGAGGGAAAAACAAACAAACAAACAGGTCGGGAGTAGGGAGAAATGGAGGAAAACAAGAGCAGTGACAATTAGCATATATACAAAAGGGAAATCATAGCAAAAGTACACATTCAGTGAAATCACAAGGAAATTCCAGAATGTTTGCATGGTTTTCCAAAGATGCAATCTTCACTCATTTCTTTGTGAAGTTGGCACAGAAGCCTTCTTCTAAAGAGTTATGTCAAAGGCTTTCATGGTCAGAATCGCTGGGCTGTTGTACGTTTTTTTCGGGCTGTATGGCCATGATCTAGAAACATTTTCTCCTGATGTTTCGCCTGCATCTACGGCAGCATCCTCAGAGGTTGTGAGGTCTGTTGGAAACTAGGAAAAATGGGTTTATATATCTGTGGAAAGTCCAGGGTGGGAGAAAGAACTCTTGTCTGTTGGAGCTAGGTGGGAATGTTTCAATTGGCCACCTTGACTCGCATTTGATGGCCTAACAGGCCTGACATAAAATAATAATAATAATAATAATAATAATAATAATAATAATAATAATAATAATAAACAACTACTTTATTTATATACCGCTCTATCTCCCTGAGGGGACTCAGAGCAATTCCCAGTTAACATCACAAAACATACACAGTAAAAAAACAACATAACCATATGATTAACAAAATAATATAAGTATAAAAATTGTCACCATAACACACATATATTAGAGGAATCCTGCCTTTTCGAGGCAATTTAAAATTTTAAAAGGCCGGGCGAAGATTTGTGCAAGCCCAAAAATTCTAGGGGACCCAAGAATTAAGTGCAATGCTACGGCAGGCAACAATAATATAAGGTATGGGTCTATGGCTGTTCATTCCGGGGCCGATTAGAGGAAGTGATCTGTGTAATTGGTAGGAAGAATAAGACCGTATTTGACAATGTGTAAGACTGAATTAGAAGTGGTCATTTTCAAAGGCTTGTTGAAACCACCAGATCTTCAAGATCTTACAAAAGGAGGGGAGGGATGGGGCCTGTCTTATTTCCCTTAAAAATTAACAAAATCTGGCTACCAGTATTTTAAAAAGTCTAAAATTATAACAGTAAATAAAGAACAACACTCAAACACAGGGGAACTCCAGACAATAAACAATCAGGGACAGCTAATCAACTCTCAACAAAGGATTCCCCCAGGCAGTAACAAGCCACACCTAAAAACTGCCAGGTCATCAAATGCTAATCAAGGTGGTTAATTGAAACATTCACACCTAGCTCCAACAGACAAGAGTTCTTTCCCCTATTCTGGACTTTCCACAGATATATAAACCCAATTTTCCTAGATTCCAACAGACCTCACAACCTCTGAGGAAGACTGCCATAGATGCAGGTGAAATGTCAGGAGAGAATGCTTCTAGAACATGGCCATACAGCCCCAAACCCCCACAACCACCCAGTTTTGGGTAACATGCACACCTGAATCCCTTTTTGTCCTCACAACAAAACTGTACACAAAGAAAAATGTGATTTGGGCCAAAGCTATCTAGTATTCTTGGCTGCAGGATATAAAAATAAGGATTTTCAAGAAAATATTACATTTGAATGTTTTGTTTAACACTTCCCAGGCATTTCCTCCCATGTTTTTCAATGTCCTAAATTAGAGGTGGTATACCAGGTGCTGTGGTTTGTCCCTCCACTTGATTAATCCCAGCCTCAGCCAACCAAAGGGTCCCTTCAAGGCAGTTTCTCTGGGACTCACTGTTGACGCCAGCTTCCCCGTTGCCTTGTTTCTCCAGGAGCTGCTCAATGTTTGGTGTAGCCTGGGGGACATTTTCCAGCTGCCCGCTGTTTGTTGCCACTGTCTGGTCAAAGAGGGTGGGAAGGCTACTAATTGGGGACCTGTGTGACATGGAAGGTGAAAGGAAGAGAGTCACTGCAATATTACATACACAGTACACAAGCAGGAGGAGTATTCCAGATCCCTTCCTGTTCCAAAACAAGCTCATAACTCTCCATCTGCTGCATCTAAGGCAGCGAGAAAAGACAAGCTCAGTTCTGCGAACTGTAAATATTGTGCCAATTCTAAAAATATTTGCTTATTTGGCACAAATTACCTTTTGTTACATTAATAAACAAAGTAAAGTAACAAAAATGGTTGTCTCTATTTTATCCTTTTCAGCTTAACCCAGATATTTTACACTCCATAATTTCACAGTTGAAACCCGGGTTGTGTTCTTGAGGAAATATAAGAATCTTATAAGAAACCAACTTACATGGAAGAAAGGCTTTCTTGGGGTGATGATCCTCGACAGGCAAAATTACAGTCTTCCAAATCCGGTTCTGGAAGCAAAGACATAAACTGTGCTTTTAAAAAAAAGTATTCGCAGATAACCATCCTCCCAACACCAAACAAATTCTAGATTTATCCAAAGATATAGGAACTAGACCAGACATGGTCTTTGTTTAATTCCCAAACATTCCCCAACCATCAGTAAGGTAATGGTGAGAAATGGAAGATCCCATTCTTAGACCAAAAGGACCATGGCAATGAAGGCACCAATGATATTCTAGCATCTGCTGGTTACCTACTGTTCCAGTTCCTACTATTCTGGAACATATGAGGCAGGGGATCCTTAGATCTTTCAAATTTAAAGTTAAAGGTTTCCACTTGACATCAACTCTAGTCATGTCTGACTCTGGGGAGTGGTGCTCATCTCCATTTCTAAGCTGAAGAGCCGGCATTGTCCGTAGACACCTCCAAGGTCATGTGGCCGGCATGACTGTATGGAGTGCCGTTACTTTCCTGCAGATGTGGTACCTATTGATCTACTCACATTTGCATGTTTTCAAACTGCTAGGTTGGCAGAACCTTTAAACTTGGCTCCCTCAAAATGGTCAGGCACCATTGATCAGGATCACAAAGATGACTGCAGAGCTGAGCCTCCTCAGCAAGCAGCAGTCAGAAGTCTCCTAGTTTATAACCATTTTTCCATTTATTTATGTGTTCAAGTGGCCTGTAAACTTGCAGATAACTCATTTGTGAGAAAAGAAGGACATAAATAAACAAAAAAGTCATGGGAGTTCTGTGTTCAAAGTTTGGTTCAAGTCCATCATTGATGGAGTTCAGAATGCTCTTTGATTGTACGTTAACTATAAATCCCAGCAACAACAACTTCCAAATGACAAAATACCCCTCCCCTCAACCCCACCAGTATTCAAATTTGGGTGTATCGGGTATTTGTGTCAAATTTGGTCCAGTGAATGAAAATACATCCTGCACATCACATATTTACATTATGATTCATAGCAATGAAAATAATTTTATGGTTGGGGGTCACCACAACATGAGGAACTGTATTAAGGGGTCCTGGCATTAGGAAGGTTGAGAAACACTGGTTTAAGAGGTCATGTCAATGGTGCTACGACTATGAATGTAAAAATGAAATTGTTACAAAGTGGTACGTTTAGCTTAAAACAATGGAATGTGGTGGAAGCGTCTTCCTTGGATGCTTTTAAACAGAGGCTGGAAGGCCATCTATCAGGGATAGTTTGATTGTGCTTTTCCTGCATGGCAGGAGGTTGGACTAGATGGCCCATGTGGTCTCTTCCAACTCTATTATTCTACTATTCTAACATAACATAACATGAGCCCCCAGTGGCACAGTGGGTTAAAGCGCTGAGCTACTGAACTTGATGACTGAAAGGTCTCAGGTTCGAATCCGGGGAACGGTGTGAGCTCCCATTGTTAGCCTCAGCTTCTGCCAACCTAGCAGTTCGAAAACAAGCAAATGTGCATAGATCAATAGGTAAGGTAGCAGCGTTCCATGCTGTAATGCCAGCCACATGATCCTGGAGGTGTGTATGGACAATGCCAGCTCTTCGGCTTAGAAATGGAGATGAGCACCAACCCCCAGGGGCCAGATACGACTGGACTTAATGTCAGGGGAAAACCTTTTCCTTTACCTAACATAGCAAGAGGCCAACTCTTATGTTCTAATCTGTCATATTTCATATGTTTTTTATCTTGTTTAAGCTATTTATTGTTTTAATCTGAAATAGTTTTACATTATTTATTGTTCTATCTGAAAGTCACCTTGAATCCAATGGGAAAGGGTGAGATATAAATATTTCAATACTAAAATGATCCTTGAACTTTATAACAATATCATTTAAATCTTCTTTAAAATATGGTTCCAAAAATGTTGTACACCCCTATTGCCCGAGGATGAATTGATGCACATTGTATCTATGCAGTTAATATTTTACACTATAACACATACTATTTTTGATACTGTTTTTAAAAGAACAGTCTCCTACGTCTCCTTCTGAAAACGAAACCGTTTTGTTGCAACCTCGACAAGACAGCCACTTTCTGCAGCAATGATGTTATTGCTCCCATTTGTCACCAGATGGCAATCCAGTGCAACCACTTTCCCTCCATAAGACCGTACCTTCCTTTTCCACTGCTCATGCGCATGGCCCTGTGTGTCACTTTTCCCAAGGGTTCCAGGTCAGATTGCAGCGGCTTGGCTGCTGTTATTATATATCAAAGAGCTGGATCTTTATAAGCATTGTATTTTCCAACACAAAAAAAGAGAACAAATGCCTTCCAAACATGGAAACCTCATTAGTTATAAAGATCTCAGAACTGATGAACCCAGGAAAGGACATGGGTTACTTTATAAATAGTGTGGCCTTGACATTTAGAAGGGCATGTAGAAAAACCTTGATTTGTGTACCTGTTCGGTTGTTTTCCGATTGGTTTAGCAGTGGGTTCATAGACAGCCCAGAGGTGAGTGGACTTCCGAAGATGTGTGAGGAAGGGAGACTGAATGTAGGACCTGCCAGTGAGAAAACCTGCAAAAAGGAAAAATTGAATGTGAGTGTGTGGCAAACCCTTATTATTAGCAGTCACATTTTTTAAACTTCCCAACAAAGCTTTCACTAGTAATGAATGGCTTTTATTTATTTCTCGTGTCAGGGCAGCCAGTCAGTTATATTACATTTCTAACAGAACAAAGCAAACAAACAGAGAAAATACAAAATGTGTGAGTTTGGTAGTTGATTAAATGTCCTTTGACCAGTATCTGGCCACTTGGGAGTGCTTCTGGTGTTGCTGCAAGAAGGTCCTCCATTGTGCATGTGGCAGGGCTCAGGTTGCATTGCAGCAGGTGATCAGTGGTTTGCTCCTCTCCACACTCGCATGTCGAGGATTCCACTTTGTAGCCCCATTTCTTGAGGTTGGCTCTGCATCTCGTGGTGCCAGAGAGCAGTCTGTTCAGTGCCTTCCAAGTCGCCCAGTCCTCTGTGTGCCCAGGGGGGAGTTTCTCATTTGGTATCAGCCATTGGTTGAGGTTCTGGGTTTGAGCCTGCCACTTTTGGACTCCCGCTTGCTGAGGCGTTCCAGTGAGTGTCTCTGTAGATCTTAGAAAACTATGTCTGGATTTAAGTCGTTGAGGTGCTGGCTGATACCCAAACAGGGGATGAGCTGGAGATGTCCCTGCCTTGTTCCTTTCACTATTGGTTGCCACTTCCCGGCGGATGTCAGGTGGTGCGATACCGGCTAGACAGTGTAATTTCTCCAGTGGTGTAGGGCGCAGAGACCCCGTGATAATGCGGCATGTCTCATTAAGAGCCACATCCACTGTTTTAGTGTGGTGAGATGTGTTCCACACTGGGCATGCATACTCAGCAGCAGAGTAGCACAGTACAAGGGCAGATGTCGTCACTGTATCTGGTTGTGATCCCCAGGTTGTGCCAGTCAGCTTTTGTATGATATTGTTTCTAGCACCCACTTTTTGCTTGATGTTCAGAATGGCTGATGGATTCAAACAAGTGCTTGTCAATCACTGGCTTTCTAGATACCAATTCCCTGAATCTCTGACTATAGGCTATGCTGCTTGGGGCTTATGAGGGTTGACATCCAAAACATATGGAGCAAGAACCATCTTGGGTTCCTTTATCTCAAAGAGCCTGCCAAATAAAAAGAATTTCCAGGCTGTGAATTAAAAAAAAAGTTTATTTACCATAAAGGTCACAGATCAGGGTGAACTGTCTATTTAATTTACTATTTAGTTGTTATTATTTCTAGATTTATGACTAAGTATAGGCATTGAGTGTTTGCCTTTATTATTTCTATTATTTATGATTAAGTATAGGCATTGAGTGTTTGCCTTTTGCTCTGGAAACCACCCTGAGTTCCTTCAGAGGGCGTGTTAGAAAGAAATAATAATAATAATAATAATAATAAACCATCTGCCTGCGACAAAGAACTGGTGGGATCACAAGCCGAAAAAAGTTACAGAAAATGAACACGTCAAGCTACTCTGGGACTTCCGGATTCAGACAGATAGAGTTTTGGAGCACAATACTCCTGACCTTGCAATTGTGTTAAAAAAAGAAAGTATGGATTGTCGATATTGCAATCCCAGGTGACAGCAGGATTGAAGAGAAACAACTGGAAAATATGACATGATATGACGATTTAAAGATCGAACTGCAAATACTCTGGCACAAACCAGTCAAGGTGGTCCCAATGGTGATTGGCACACTGGGTGCAGTGCCTAAAGACCTTGGCCTGCACTTAAACACAATCGGCACTGACAAGATTACCATCTGCCCACTGCAAAAGGTCACCCTACTGGGATCTGCTCGCATTATCCGCCGATACATCACACAGTCCTAGACACTTGGGAAGTGTCCGACGTGTGATCCAATACAACAGCCAGCAGAGTGTCTGCTGTGGACTCATCTTGTTGTGTTTCTAACAACAACAACAACAACAACAACAGTCCTAACAGCTTTGAAACATCTCTTTTTATGGTATGAGTAGGATGTAGACAATGCAGGTTCAAGTGCCCAGAGAAATGTGTCAATAACATTCATTGGCTAATCATGTATTTGACACTCTCAACCTGCTTTGCTTTACTGGTCCATCGTGTGGACAGAGTAGGGAAGAGGAGAGCCATGTATATTGCTTTGGCTTTACTGGACAGAAGCCATGAAATGCAATCAACCCTCCACATTCACTGGGGTTAAGGTCACAGGACTCCTGTGAGAGTAAAAACCATGAATAAAGAAACTGCTAATTTCTTAACCTGAGAAAACAGTTCTCTAGCAATTTTCAGGCCTTCCAGCAGGAAGGTTGTGTCTCCACAATATATAACTTTGAAGAACCAGTATCCCAAAACTTTAAGGCAGGTATGGCTCACATCTGTGGGCCAGGCCTTAGCATAGTGGGTTATGCTGCCAGATACAGAAAATTGTGCCAATAGAAAGGTTGACAGTTCAAGCCCTGGTTGGGGTGAGCTCCCAACCACCAGCCCAGCTTCTGCTCACCTACCAGTTCGAAAACAGCAATGTGAGTAGATAAATTGGTACCGCTTTGGTGGGGAGGTAATAAAAGGCAAACATTAAATGCCTGAGCATGACAACCAATACTCATATAATAGCAAAAATAATAACCCAACAGAAATAGGATAATACTGCTGCATGGATAGGATGCAAACAGTTTGAAAAGGCCAGAAAGGATCTCAAGACTAATTGCAGTCTTTGATGAGTTGGGATCTATTACTGCTTAGCTTCTATATGGCATTCAGTCCAGTGTCTCTCCAGAATGGGGTACATCATCCTTCTCCTTCTCCTTCTCCTCCTCCTCCTCATCATTATCATCATCTTTCCGAATACATTTAAACAAATGAATTTAGCTCAAATCCATCCATCCAAACCAAACAGAACAGAACTTTAAAAATCAGGAAGTGAATTTTCATTTTAGAGAGTTTTTTCTGTTCAATAGAAGATCCTGAAGCTGGAAGATTCCCCGGGTCTTTCAGAGCTCACCCATTCCTTTTTAAGGATAAATATAACACTATGAATCAATATTCGATTTTTTTTTGTTCCTGGTTTGAAAGTGTTATTTCCTGTTTAACTGTGCAGTACACACTTTGAAACGCGTAATTATGCTCCACAACCTCCGAGGATGCCTGCCATAGATTTGGGCGAAACGTTGGGAGAGAATGCTTCTGGAACATGGCCATGCAGCCCGGAAAACTCACAGCAACCCAGTGATTCTGGCCATGAAAGCCTTCGACAACACATACTTCAGAAACTTCTTTTTTGTGCCACAAACTATGTTGAATTGGCTGAGAATCTATGAGATAGTCATTGAAAAACTATAGCAAAATGTGCTGCAGGATGTCCTGCAAGAACAAAGTTTTTGCAGTTTAATAAACTTTTTCCATGTTTTTATGACAGAACCAATTAGAAAATGACACTGACAACCCAAGAACAAAAATTGTGTTACATAGTGTAATCATTCTTGTGTAATACTATGTGGCAGGGGTTTGGCCTGGATGGTCTTTGTGGTTTCCTCCAGCTCTACAATTTTCTGATTCTTCCTGATACATATACACACACTCCTTTGTAAAGGTAAATTAACATTCTTGTGCAGCAGAGGGTTGGTCTGGATGGTGCTTGTGGGTTTTTTTCAACTCTTTAATTTTATGATTCTTCCTGATACAAGTACATTGATAGGTTTATAGATCTTTTTATATATTTTACTTTCTTCCTCTTAGTCATATACTGGCCAAGATCTTATTTTATGCTGGCAGAGCATAACCCATAGCTGGGGAATAGGCATTGCACAAAGGCACACTGCATAGTTCTTTGTGCAATTCCCCAAAGCATACTTATGCTGGGATAAGCTTCCCAGAGGATTTCAATGCAAATGTGCCAGAAAGGAAGATGTTTCTGAATCTGTTCAATTCCAGAATGGATTCTTATCACTAGATAAGAAGCATTGCTTATGCTGCTGGTGTTCCTTACCTGGGTAGTGGATACAGAAGAGGATGAGGAGGCCGGGATGGTGCTAGCGAAGGGTGAGCGAGTAAGCTGGGGGAGTGAAGAAGTGCCTTGGTGAGCCAGAAGGCTGGAAGAGAGAGGAGTGCTGCACACAGTCCTGAGCACCCCACCCCCATGTGAAATGGGGTCCTTGTTGCTTGTATAGATCCCTGCATGGAGAAATCAAAGAAAGACCTGAGAGAAGGCACCAAGATACTTAAAAAAGAACACCCCTGCTCTGCATGGCTGACACCTATTCATTTGGAATTCTCCCTCTCTTTCACAGTCAAGATGGTGTAACAATATTTCCTTGAAATAATACCAATAGGACATGCCAGAATTACAGGATTGGATGAACTGAGGCTAAAGGTGTTTCTAGAGAGTCACACAACAAATGAATGCCTGTTGCTTAGTCAGTGCCTGGCACAGCACTGATGAAGAACATGCTCCTCCATCCAGAAGTTAAACTTTAGCTCCCATCATCACTTATCACTGGCTATGCTGGCCAGGGCTGTCATGTGTTGTGGCCCAATACTATCGACCAGGGCCATAAGTTCTTCACCTCTGAGCTATTTGATTCTCCCAATCTATAAACAACAATGTGCAGATTCCAGGAAGTTGCAATGATAATTTGGGTTCCCAAAGCGAATGAGATTTAGAGTGCTCTCTAAAACCTCCAGGCAAGGCCTATGATATAACAGATAAGCACCATATAAGTCCCTTCCCATTTCCTCTCCCAGTGCCTGGCCCATGCTGTGACTCAAAAAGTTGTGCTGGACAACATGCATCACTATTGTGTTACTGGACTGTAGCTCTTAGTCCGATATCTCCCTCTGTGATCCATCTCGGAAACTAAGATCATTGGGGAAGGTCCTGCTCTCAGTCTCACCTCCTTCTGGTTGGGACAATATTTTATTTATTTATTTACAGTATTTATATACCGCTTTTCTCACCCCGAGGGGGACTCAAAGCAGTTTACACATAAGTAGTGGCAAAAAATTCAATGCCACTATAAACAATTACAATTAAACATACAATTAGACATAAATCAAATTAAAATTCATCCATGAGCAATAAAACAATCATTAAAACAATAAAACAGTCTCGTCCGTTGAATTGCCATTCTCAGTGGTGGCCCCTCATCTATGGAACTCCCTCGCTAGTGAAATTAGATCGGCCCCCTCCCTCCTGACTTTCAGGAAAAAACTAAAGCCATGGCTGTGGGACCAAGCTTTTGGTCAGTAAGCAGCACAGTAAGAGGCTACAAATAACGGAATTATGACTTGGATTGGCCCTGGAATATGATTTGGATTTTGAGATTTTAACTGATGTTTTAATGTTTATGTTTTTAATTGTGTTCATTTTAATGAAGTTGTTGATTTACCAATACAGTATTCCCTCCCTACTTCACGGTTTGCTTTTCGTGGACTTGCTGTTTCGCGGGTTTTTGCCTCCCAGTTTATGAATGGTTGCCTTTGCCCAGAGCAGCGTTCTAATCCTGCCACCTGGCAACGATGGAGTGTGGAAGGGGGTTTCACCCTCCCCCTTGGGAGAGAGGCAGCCAATCAAGAGATAGAGGAGATACAAAGCATTATGTAAATTATGGCCTTATAGACCCTTCCTTATACTTAGCCAAAAAAAAAAAAAAAGGGCTCACGGTGCCTTTAAATCTCTCTTCGCTTCTGCCTCACCCTCGGAATGCGATATGCATATATAGCATCCCTACTTTGCGGATTTTCACTTTTCACGGGTGGTCCTGGAACGTAACACCCGCGATAAGTGAGAGAACATTGTATATGTGTATATAGCATTGAATTTTGCCTTTGTGAGGCCGACCTGAATCCTCTTTGGGATGAGAAGGGTGAGGTACAAGCATGGTAACTCTCAGAATCCCCTGGCAGATGAAAACTACAAGCAGATATATGTGGTATGATAAAGTGAAAGTAAATGTGGAAGCATCCAGCTAAAAACTGAGATTTTTCCACTCGGTCTGACTAACAAAAATAACCAGGATACACTATGGCAATATATGATCACAGCAGATAGACTGCTATATGCACAAAAATGGAAGAGTAGAATAATGCCAACAACAGAGGATTGGATGATAAAACTGATGGACTTGCCTGATATGGACAAATTAACATGTCTACTAAAAGATTGAAAACTTTTGTAAAAAAAAGACTAGAAACCTTTTTTTTTTTCACTTTTTGCATGAAGAAGAGAAGGGCTTCTCAATTCTGAGTTTTGAAGAATAAATTAAAACTTTTTGTTGTTGTTGTAATATATTTCGCCAAGTCACATTCTCTCAGCTGAACGAATCTTGCCAAGAAAACCCTGTGATAGTGTTGCTTTGGGTTTTCTTTAAGACAGAAATGATTTCAAGGCATGCAACAACAAACATCAGAGTTTGAGATGAATTAACAGGACATGAAGGCCTTGGTGAACAGCCAAATTTTCACTTGGCACTTAAATGAAATGATGACCTCTTCAAACTTTATGATTTTATTATTGTGTGACTATGCAGGTGTTGTTTTGCAGCCCGACTGGTTTGCCTGCTTTGATTTCAGCAAGCAATATCTCCTTTTAACATCACTTTCCACAACCTCTAAGGGAGTTTTACACAAAATATTTTGAGTGTTTAAAAAATTAAGTAAATTATAAATAACAGAGCAGGATTTTTAAAAAAGGTGTCAGGCTGGGGGGGAGGAGAGGAAGTAGTCAGTCTACTCAAACCATGGCCCAAGAGTTATAAAGGATAGTTGTGCCAAGGTCTGACTCAATGGCACACATGCCTGGCACTGCAATTACAAAGCTGGGAGGCAGCCAGGCTCACACAGAGGCTCAGGAATTTACAGTAAGCTCTGTTTTGCTTCTGCCCACCATCACCACATACCAGACACCAGAGGCTTCCCTGTTGCACCAGCTCCGTCGGCAAATGGGCAACTTGCCTACAGGATGAATGGAGACTGCTGAAATTGAGTAGACTCAAGACTAAATGTGTGGAAACTCCTAAGTTAACTTCACACCTTCCCAACCTAGCCAACTATTCCGGAAGAAGCTTAAATCCTGGTTATGGGATCAGGCATTTACAGAATAGTTTGTTTACTGGGAAAAACAAGATTTATTGGACCAGACTTGGGACTGCTTTGGATGATGATTTTAATTGTGGTGATTTTAATCTGGCAAGTGGGTTCTTAATGCATATTTAGAATTATTTTAATTTTGTGGATGCATTTATTATGTGTTTTATATTATGTTTGGTATCAAATTGTTGCCTGTTTGGAAGGTCAAGAAGGACGGGGTATAAATGTTTTAAATAAATAAGGTGATTTTATCAGGAATTTCTAGGAATGTGGGTGGGACTGTGGTGCTGTACCTTGTGATAAATGCTGCAAAGATACTTACTACTAGGAAGCAAGCTTACTAAACAACAATGTGACTTACTTCTGCAGGAGTATGCACGGAATTGCAGTACAAGTTTTGACTCATGCACAAACTCAACAAAAGTTGCTATGGGCATCCTTTCAGCCAACTGGATACAGACAAAACATACTTGAGTCCCCTTCGGGGAGATAGGGCAGAATACAAATAAAGTATTATTATTATTATTATTATTATTATTATTATTATTATTATGTTTAACATTTACACAAATGATCAGCCACTGCCAGAAGGGACAGAGAGCTTCACCTATGCTGACGATTGTGCCATCACTGCTCAAGCAGGGAGTTTTGACATGGATGAACAGAAGCTCTCCAAAGCTTTAGGTGCTCCTACTGCCTATTACAGAGAAAACCAGCTGATTCCTAATCTATCTAAAACACAAACATGTGCTTTTCATCTTAAGAATTGACAAGCATCTCGAGCTCTGAGGATTACCTGGGAAGAAATCCCACTGGAGCATTGCAGCACAACAAAATACCTAGGAGTTACCCTTGATCGTTCTCTGACCTGCAAAAAGCACTGCCTGAATATCAAGCAAACCCTGGGCACCAGAAATAATATCATATGAAAGCTGACTGGCACAACCTGAGGATTACAACCACATACAGTGAAGTCATCTGTCCTTGTGCTTTGCTACTCTGCTGCTGAGTACGCATGCCCAGTTTGGAATACATCTCACCATGCTAAAACAGTGGATGTGGCTCTTAATGAGACATGCCACATTATCACAAAATGTCTGCGCCCTACACCACTGGATAAACTACACTGTTTAGCTGGTATTGCACCACCTGACATCCACTGGGAAGTAGCAGCCAATAATGAAAGGACCAAGGTAGTGACATCTCTGGCCCATTCTCTGTTCAGATATCAGTCAGCATGCCAATGCCTTAAATCAAGAAAGAGCTTCCTAAGATCTCCAGAGATACTCGCAGGAACACCTCAGCAAGCGAGAGTCCAAAAGTGGCAGGCTAAAACCCAGAACCTCCACCCATGGCTGATACCAAATGAGAGACTCCCTCCTGGGCACATAGAAAACTGGGTGACTTGGAAGGCCCTGAACAGACTGCACTCTGGCCCCCCTAGATGCAGAACCAACCATAAGAAATGCGGCCACAAAGTGGAGTCTATGACATGCGAGTGTGGAGAAGAGCAAACTACAGACATCCTATTACAATGCAGTCTGATTCCTGCCACATGCACAATGGAGGATCTCCTTATAGCAACACCAGAGGCACTCCAAGTGGTCAGCTACTGGTCAAAAGACATCTAATATAATTGCCAAGTATTTAAACTTTGTGTTTTTAAAAACACATTACAACTGTACCCTTGGTTCACTCCTGCTATGATAAATATATAAATAAATATTATTATTTCCTGAACTTTAATAAGGATGACTGATTTTAGTAAAAGAAAAAAGAAAAGGAAAGGAAAGGAAAACAATAGTGATACTTCTTCTTATTAATAGATTTGAGTTAAAGAAAGAAAGAAAGAAAGAAAGAAGGAAGGAAAGAAGGAAGCATGGAAGGGTAGAAAAGCTGGCCAAGAATCCCTACTGTAGGGAAAGAGATTCCACCTAAACATCAGGAAGAATATCCTGGTAGTAAAAGCTGTACAACTGCGAAAGAGTGGGGTAGAATCGCCTCTGGAGATGTTTAAGAAGAGACTGTATGGCCATCTGCATCCAGAGTGTTTAAATTGTGTATTCCTGCATGACAGAATAGGGTTG